TCATGTACTCCTTTTAAGATCTCTCGTCGTAATTGATAAATTACATAGGCTACTTTTAACAATGGGTAATTTATATTGTGATTTTGAAGTGTTGTAGTAAGTTTATGGGTGGTTAATAAAAATTTAAAGCCACGGATGATAATTCACTTTCGAATTAGAAAAGTAGAAAAATACAAGCTTTTGTTTTAAAGTGTCTTTACAGTTTCGTTCTTCTCACACATCAGCAACTACAGTCATATAGTGGTGTCGACCTTCGCTTGGAGGCTCTTCTCTGTTACAGAATACAAAAAAATTCTTTGTACTCTAATATAATAGAAAAAAAAAGTAATTAATGTTTGTCATTTTAGCTCTTCCTGTACAATAAATAAGGACTATCTGCCAAGGATGTATGCTTCCCGGATAGACTTTCTGTTGGAAACTGGTTTGTCTGTGAAAACCGTGAAGAACATCCGGAAAAATCCATAAATAAATCTTATAAATATATTTAAATCTATAAGCAAACTCTTAATGTTCATCGTCAATAATAAATTCAAAATAGAATACGAATATTTAGTGCTAATATTTTTAGGGGTTCCGTTTTCAGATATTAAATTAAAGGCAGTGACGAGTTATATTTTTATGGGGCCCAGGTGAATTTGAATTAGGGAGCCCCATACAATGGGTTGACTTCAAAATTTTTCTTTGGAGGAATTTTTGAGGGAAAATATTGTCTTATAAAAGATTGGTTTGGGGTCCACCAGGCATTTGTCTTTTTTCCCATAGGATAACGTACCACTTAGTATAGGATAGAGGAAATAAAGCAATGCAGCACTTGAGTAACATGTCAATGCCTCCAGGAAAGACTTTTTATAGTAAACTAGCTTTTATTTACATGCTAGACAAGTGAATAAAACGCAAAAAAACTTTACTTTGTTATATATATATATATGTTACCGCTAAAGCTCGAAATCCGTTAATGTGTACATTACCTAGCTAATCTGCAGATTAACTAGGGTGATCCATGTTTGCAGATTAACTAGGGTGATCCAAGTTGCTAAAATTGTTCTATTTCTCAAATTACCTAGGTAATCTGCAAATTACCTACTAGGCACTCGGTAAAGTGAAAATAAGATCTTTGCTGAAACAACAGCAACGTTTCTGTACGCTTAAATTAACATAATGTTCTTTATTTAATTTTCGATATCTAAAGAATCAAGTTAATACAATCAAACAATCGACAAATTACAGTAGACCCCCTATAACGCTTAGATATAACGCTTCCACTTTATAAGAATTTTACGTTGTAGGAATCCTTAAATACATGAGCCAATCACACCCCGACACGTGTGAAGTTTACGGACTAAGGCTGTTTGAAAGGTTTTTTCTATAAAATTAACCGATTCTAGACCAATTCGACTCTACATTTCCAAAACACGTATAATTTTTTGGGAATAATCCGTATAAACTATGCTATAAACAAAAAATTGTAGGATTACTTATCGAGTGTTCACCGTTCGACTACGCTGTTGCTTACGCTCGTTTTCATCGCGGAGCAGCGCACCAAACGGCGGCCGCGTTTTCTGATAAATTATTTTTCTGCGAAAAATTCGTTGACCTTTGGAGACATCATTAATATAAATAATTTTTATGGCCGTTGAATAAGAAATGTTTCTTTCACAAGAAATGTATAAAATTAGTGCTGTATTAGACTTACGGTACNTTTATTCTATTGTAATTTTGTTATTTAGTAGCTTTGATCTAGGTTCAATGAATGTATTTTGACGCTTGAGCGAAAGTAGATATTTACAGATTCTTTACACGTAACATGTAATTAAGTGTACTGTGTAATATAGCGTGTAATTAAATCATTTTTTTAGGGTTTAATTATGTGCTAGCAAGACCATCGAGAGGGTGTAGAGGTGAGGATTTTTCCTCGGGCCAGGAGAAAACTTAGGGATCTATAGTAGTAATTTGTTTAAAGGAGCAAACAGGGCTCGTTAAAGGTGCCGTTCTAACTTCATCCCCCATTCAAGCTCTCGATTGCTTGTATGATAGCGAAATCTTTGAGTTAATAAATACAGTAAAACCTGTCTAAAGCGGAACCTGAATAAAACGGAAAAACATTTGTTAGGATCCGGTTTACACAGGTTTTAATGTAGTTAGCTAAATTTACTAATATGTATCACTCCATCGACCAATGACAGTATTTTTTGTAATATATGTTCAAGGTCGCTAACAGTAAGTGATTTTTTTTTATTCCTAACGAGTAGCGATTTCCTACGAATCAGGACAAGTTTTTCGTCGCTAAGCTTCTTTTGGTAACAAATATCTTGACAATTATTACATTAAATACTTCCAAAATGTAGTTTATAAAATAATTTCCTTTAGGAATTAACCTATGACCTTTCTTCTTTGTGGATATAAAATTTATCGAATAGTTTTAATTAGTCTTCCAGTTTAAAACAATTCATATAAGATTAAATTATTATTATGTTTCTTATCAGTTTACGTCTTATATCTTTAATTTACACGTTTCTTTTTATAGTAGAATATAAGTAATTGCGTTACGTAAGAAACAGGTTTTGTCTATTCTCTATATAAAGGTATTGTGCGTGATTATACACAAAACCTTGCTCCTTATTGCAGTGGATGCACGTAAGGTACGTATTGATGATTCTTTTGTTTAGTTCAAACACGTGTAAAATCATCCTACGATTTTTTTTTAATTTTTAAACTCTTTCTACAAGAGTCTATTATACAATAATCATTCGATTGATGTTGGCATTGATGGCAATTGTAGATAAATAACTCTAGTACACTTAACAATTGAAGAAATAGAAGTAATGTTATTAAACGTTTATATCAATTGCCCAGTGGATGATACTCTGCACATTATCTAGGTAATTTGAGAAATGGAACAATTTTCACAACTTTAACGGATCACCCTACTTAATCTGCAGATTAGCTAGGTAATCTGAAGATTAACGGATTTCGGAAAACAATGTATATGTATATATATTGTTTTCTTTTCGTATTTTTCAACAGGAAATGTTTGTCTTTTCAGGGTCACATTTACGTGTAAAATGTTCATCTGAAGAAGTTTCAATGTAAAAAGTAAAATTATGTAGATATTTTTACCTTGAAAATTTTTAAATAAAAATATCTTTACTTATTTAAATGTTAAATTTCGCATACTGCTTATTTTTTAAAATATTTTCTTCACGTTAATAACGTCTAAATGGGGGCCAGTTATTAATAGAAAGTACCCCTGCGCAGATCTTCCACGTGTCGAGTTGTAGTATACATTCAGTTTATCGTAGCAAACAAAGTTTTTTTTTTTTTTTTTTTAAAGTAATTTTATGCTATTGTTCAGCTTTAATTCCAAGTTATTCTTTAGGAAAAAGTCAACTGTAAATTTATTTATTCTTTAGGAACTAACAAAGTAACTCTTCCTGAGTAAATCATTATACTAAAACAAACAAACTAATTAATTGACAGAATAATGTGCAGTACTTACGTATTAATTTGAATTAAATAAATTATGTTTTATTATTCTTTTATGTAGAAGGTTTGATTTGATGGGACACGGCAATACAACACGTAAGACTTTCTACCAGAAACTAGCCTTTATTAGGTGTTAGATATGTGAGGAAAACTCCTTAAAAACACGTCACCAGCTGTGTGACAGGGCACGAACCCGTCACAACTACCAATTTTCAGTGGTTTTATCCACTCGGCCACTGTTGAAACGTTTTATATAAATACACTACGAGACCAAATCTCTACTTCAGAAATACAGAACACTTTTGGGCCCAAACTTATCTAATTTTTACAACAATAATTCGAATAATTCTTATAGAAATTCGACTAGCAATTTGAATTCCAACGATTTTATATATTTAATTTTTCCTTTCTAAGAATTTTATATGATAGCCATTTATTTGAAGTTATGAATTCATTGTTATTTTATATATAATATATAAATAAATAAAACAAACCAGCAAAGATGAGTGTGGGAGGAAAAAACCGTTCTGTTTTCTAGCAATAATTCAAATACACGTGCAGGTAAACTTGTGTTTAAGGAATATACGAGGTATTCTTATTTATTCTATTGTAATTTTGTTATTTAGTAGCTTCGATCTAGGTTCAATGAATGTATTTTGACGCTTGAGCGAAAGTAGATATTTACAGATTCTTTACACGTAACATGTAATTAAGTGCACTGTGTAATATAGCGTGTAATTAAATCATTTTTTTAGGGTTTAATTATGTGCTAGCAAGACCATCGAGAGGGTGTAGAGGTGAGGATTTTTCCTCGGGCCAGGAGAAAACTTAGGGATCTATAGTAGTAATTTGTTTAAAGGAGCAAACAGGGCTCGTTAAAGGTGCCGTTCTAACTTCATCCCCCATTCAAGCTCTCGATTGCTTGTATGATAGCGAAATCTTTGAGTTAATAAATACAGTAAAACCTGTCTAAAGCGGAACCTGAATAAAACGGAAAAACATTTGTTAGGATCCGGTTTACACAGGTTTTAATGTAGTTAGCTAAATTTACTAATATGTATCACTCCATCGACCAATGACAGTATTTTTTGTAATATATGTTCAAGGTCGCTAACAGTAAGTGATTTTTTTTTATTCCTAACGAGTAGCGATTTCCTACGAATCAGGACAAGTTTTTCGTCGCTAAGCTTCTTTTGGTAACAAATATCTTGACAATTATTACATTAAATACTTCCAAAATGTAGTTTATAAAATAATTTCCTTTAGGAATTAACCTATGACCTTTCTTCTTTGTGGATATAAAATTTATCGAATAGTTTTAATTAGTCTTCCAGTTTAAAACAATTCATATAAGATTAAATTATTATTATGTTTCTTATCAGTTTACGTCTTATATCTTTAATTTACACGTTTCTTTTTATAGTAGAATATAAGTAATTGCGTTACGTAAGAAACAGGTTTTGTCTATTCTCTATATAAAGGTATTGTGCGTGATTATACACAAAACCTTGCTCCTTATTGCAGTGGATGCACGTAAGGTACGTATTGATGATTCTTTTGTTTAGTTCAAACACGTGTAAAATCATCCTACGATTTTTTTTTTATTTTTAAACTCTTTCTACAAGAGTCTATTATACAATAATCATTCGATTGATGTTGGCATTGATGGCAATTGTAGATAAATAACTCTAGTACACTTAACAATTGAAGAAATAGAAGTAATGTTATTAAACGTTTATATCAATTGCCCAGTGGATAAAGCCATTGAACAAGTGTCGTCTGACTGGCGTGGAATTTTCCGGGTTTTCTTCACGTAATTGGGGTTAGTTTTTCACACAAGGCGCCCCCTTGGGAACAATACAAGAAATAGAAAACGATATTTCTCTTTATATATTTTCTTCACTTGTTTATAAGGCTATTATTTTATTATCTCTTACCTTTTTTAACTTAGTTTTTCCTCCATCATTGTTTTTTTCATTTCTCCTTTGTTCAAAAGTTAATTACATAAATTTCTAAATATATGATTATTGTATGAAATAGTAAAAATTCCCTACAGTTATAAAATCGTAGCTTCTTATATAGCTCTATAACATATAAACACGAGTTAAATGCTACTTAAAAGTGTAAAAAAATTCGTTTTAAATTAATTTTTTTAATAAAAGCATTATTATATTAGCATTATTATATTCGTAACGGTGGACGAGTAAATTAAACCCATTAATTATTAAGTAAATAAGTTAAACCCATATCTATTTACATTGAAACCTGTATAAACGGTACTTTAATTATACAGAAAGTTACACTAAATGTAGTCTAGCAAGGATGTAAACAATTGTGACATAAAAAAAAAATATATATATATAATTTAATAACACGAATTTAACCTAAATTTATCTTTTGACGTTGTCTTTAGTTAGTGTGTTACGCGGTCGACAAGGAAGACGTGTTACACATCGTCCAGAAAGTACAGATAATATTCTCGGTAAGGAGATAAATTCCTTGTTCATTAAAAGAAAAAAATAGTGTATTTAGATGAGTTCAATTGTTACTTTATCCAAGTGTTGATTATGCTGAAGCAAGAACCTTTTATCTATATAAAGTAGGTGAGTAGCCAAAGTCTTGCTTTGTTACTGTCTTATTCAATTTCTCTTTATACAGTATACAATTGTACAGTAAAACCTGTGCAAATCGGAAGGCAGGTTTTTATTTTATTCAGGTTTGACTGTGTCTGAGTAATTATTTATCACTTATATAACGTTATCAGTTATCGATAACTAAAGTTATATAGAATTTCTCAATGAATTTTTAAAATATAGTAGTATAAACTAGTAAATTTACTAAAATAATATTATAGTTTTGTGATATGACGTTTATTATGTGATGAAAATTACTTAGTTTTTTAATGCAAGTACTTCATATCTTTTTCTAATCGTTATTATTGTCAGAGACAGGAAGTGGTATCAAGGACATAATAATCATTATTAATGATTACACAGTTCAGCTTTTCTAACAAATGTAGGCATATATTTTCAAATATCTTCATGCAAAATAACCTAAGCAAGTTGAGTGTTGTGATAATATTTATTGCATCAATTGGTATACACTATAAACATTTAAAAAAATTGTAAATAATAAATCAGTTAATTATAAAAACAATATGTAGAGGAAGAGATAATTTAATACAGTAGACGTTCCTTATAAGAAGGATTAGGGCGTAGAGCGTGCGCCCTATTTCCCATTAGCACAGTGCCCTAAATTGAAAGCCAAGTGGATGGGTTAGAGCCACGATAAGGTGATGAACACGTGGAGTGTTGTATAACTTATTACAGTGCAACCTCCATTAACGGACATTCCCGATAGCGTATATCTCTACTTAACGGACATTTATACAATTCCCAGGCTCTTTAAATAGGACAAACCTTTAAATAGTGGACAAACTTCTAGGTCCCAACAGTGTCCGCTATTCGGAGAGTTAAAAAATTACACAAATACCAATCGGTTAATCAAAAATATATATAAATACAATACTACTTTTATAAATTTTTTAAATTTATTTTACATGATAGCGTGTGAATATCTTAAGGAAAGATTAGTATACAGAGAGTCCGATTAATTTTAAATAAAAGTAACAATAACATTTAAAAACCGATAATGTGACGTCTTCTTGTTATCAACTGCATATCTAGTATTTATATAACAAGTTCAAACTTCATAACATACTACTTGAGAGTTATATAATTAAGGTGTTGGACCTAAATCACACATTAATTTTGTGCATTTCATTTTCATTTGACTGTATTGAAGACCCGAAATGAATCATGATATATTTTATGTGTTTTTTCACGTGTCTAACACCTAAATAGGAACCGGTTTTCCATAGAAAGTTTACGTCGTCTATATTTTGCCTTATATTTTCAAACAAAGTCAACCCACCCTGTTGGAAGATGTCCATCTATTGCTTTTCAGTATCCCATAAGTTAACGAATTCGTGAATTTTTAATGAGATAAATAATAATAATAAAGTGAATAAAGTGGATAAACGCCAAGTGTTTTAATAATAACACAGTCTTGTGTTCAATAGTAAATAATAAATTTTGCTTATTTTTTTATATATTTTTTTTGTTTTAAATATTGAGCCAGCGTTGACAGGGAGGAAAGCTTGCGTGCTTACTTACTTCAATAAAAAAGGATTGTTTCGTTAGTTATTCTGTTGTAATTTAAATTTTCAAGGTTTGATTGCCTATTAACAGGTGTTTTTTGACGAAATAACATTCTACATTCGATAGAACAGTGTTAATAAAACAAGAAATAAGCATAAAGCGTTTTATAAAGATAAATGTTTGTCCTAAAAAGTCTATGATACTTTAAAGTCACCTTTTAAGTTACTCTAAAAAACGACTATGTGTGATTGAAATAACTTTAAAAAAACGTTTTCTGGTACTGTTTGAAGATTCAGAATAATTTTAATTTAATAAGAATTTTTTAAAATTTGGGTAAGTAAATTAAGTTTACGTAGAAATTATTTAAAGCTTTAAGTTGTAAAGGGGTACAAACACGATTCAGATCCTTTAATCTATTATGGATATTACGGATCGCATGCATCATTTTCCTAATCTCTTACCATGGGCTTCAACTCAAACGGGTTAGAACCCATTTGGTCTTCCAATAATATTTTAAATGATGCCCCTCAAAGTTGAAGAATAAAAATTAAATAGTATTGGAGGTCTGAACTGAGGCTCCTTTCCTCTCTCATCTATCTACTGATCGATCCTTTAAGGGTCAGACTCAAGTATAATAGGTTTAATCGTTTCAAATTTCTCTATTATTAAGTCCATAATTTAAATATATATTTGAAAACTGGTAGTTTTTCGAGGGAAGTTTTGCGCCTCATGGATGACCTTGTCACGAAAATAATTAGGAGGTTTTCTTCACGTGTTTAATACCTATTAGGGATCAGTTTTCTATTGAAAGTCTTCCCGGAAAGTACTCACTCCCCTTGGCAGATTGCCTAAATGTCGTGTTCACTTATCACTCCACTCCGTATTTAATATTCACTTTAATGCAAGTTTTTCAAAGGTCAAATATAAGATTAATATCGAAATGTTTACTTCAATCTATATATACTTCACCACAGATGTTTAAATACCAGAAGAACAAACCTGAGAGTTTCAGATTTTTTCGAAGGTTATTTTCTTTTTTTAATTTGCAAATAATATAATTCGATTATTATTATTATCCTGTGTTGAAACATTTGAATTAGAGCCATTAACTAGGAAAGATTAGATGTTAAATTTTTCCAACATTATGTGGTATGTATCATTTTAAATTATAATTGTACCTAGGATAGATTTATGTACCACTTGAGATTTCAATGAAATTTGGCACAAAGGTAGCTAAAGAGCTTAAACCAAACCGTGCAAAATATTAGCCCCATACATTGCATAGTTCCTGAGATATAAACCTAAACGTAAAGGCACCTCCGCGTGTACAGTGATTAAACAGCCAACTTTGTTATCTAATGGTTCTTTGACTAAGAACAATTAAAGTATGAAATTTCATAGGGTAAGACAGTTTTAAGTGGAAAATTCGGATATGTAAACCGAAGCTTCTAATAAAATATACTGTATTCAGAAATCTTCATCAAAGTGTGGCTTTTGTTTTGCACAATCGAGACATCATTACCATTTAATGCCACATTTCTGCCCTTAGCAAAGTCGGGCATAAAATTAACACTATATATTTTGATAGAAGGAAAGATGCTCTTTCTAATGCAGCAAAATCGAAAAATTTTTAAGATACCCACATGTTGCTATTTGCCTCTAAATATTGGTAAAAATTGAGTCTCAAAATGTCTTTTGCATAATTTAGTGGACATATTTTTTAAAACTATGATAGCTTTATGCTTGAAATTTTGCAAAAATAATTATCTTCTTATACAGTTTTAAAATCCAAAGTTTGGCTTTAAAAGAATGTTTTCTTCTCGAGTTACAGAGAATTGAAATATGTGGTTTCAGTTTTATGAGAATGAATTTTTTCAATCTTTGATGAAGATCTGTGAATAGAGTACATACTGTTAGAAGGTTCTGTTAGCATATCCGAATTGTCCACTTGAAACTGTCTTATCCTGTTAAGTTTCATGCTGTAATTGTTCTTAATCAAAGAACCATTGGACAACAAAGTTGGCAGTTTAATCACTATACACACGGAGATGCCTTTACGTTTAGGTTTATATCTCAGGAACTATACAATGTATGAGGCTAATATTTTGCATGGTTTAGTTTAAGCTCCTTAACTACCTTTCTTCCAAATTTTATTGAAATCTGAGGGGGTTAAGTTGAAGACCTTGATCACATGGTGTATAATGGCATCCAATTACTATAATGGCAACTGATCACTAGTAATTTAATTACTTAGAATTTAATACATTGTAAACTTTTTATATGCGTTTTATATTAATTTAGTTGTTTTGAGTATTAAAAAATAAAATAAAAAGAGTTATCTAGGACAGGGTGGTGAACAGTTCTGACCTTGTGTGTCAAAGTAGCCTATATATAACTTTTCAAAAACTACACCACACTATTCAGAATTTCAAGAACCTGCTTTTAAAGAAATTATTCTAATTAAAACTTATACATTTATTGAGCAGATTGAGAAACGTTAAAAATAATAAACGAAGTTTTATGATATGTTGCCTACCAGAGCAATTTGTGTTCACCTACTGTTTTTGGCACCTATCCATTTACTCGTCATCCAGTATAACTTACCTGTATTAAAATGATTTATATTATTTTAATTAATTATTATTTTAGAAATTAGTTATAATTGTTACTCCTGTGCCATTTCCTTGTCATCACCATATTTTCAATGCTTTTGTGTTGATTTAAATTACCATAAAATCTAGTCGACGGTCAGCAGATAATACAAGGTTATATTCGTAAAAATTCTTCGCGTGCGGACTATGCACAAGGACAGTTGATACACGAGGAACTGAATACAGGTGTGAAGGGCAGAGAGTTTTTCAACATAGTATTTTCAATCAACAGTTGGCAAAAGTCACCAAATTCCAGTCGAAAATAGCCAAAAAAAATTGTCACAGATTGTTTTATAAAGTCTAAATGATATGAAATAAAATGAAGTATGCATGTTCTAATCATCGTTTGTTCTTCTGTGATATAGAAGTAAGAATAGTTATAAAGCATTCGTGTAAATTGTTAAAAAAATGACCAACAACTAACTCTAGTATATTACGAAGTGAGATTTACATAATGTTATTCCTGATGCTCTTCCCTTTCTATTGATTATTATTATGGAATCGTATCTTACAACTTTGGCTATTGTCTGCGATTTATATACGAGAGTGCCTTATTCACTAAAAGTCAACGTTTCTTTAGCGGCTTATACAAGAGGGAATCCAAGTTTTTAGGGTATTTACAGTACAGTAAGTGACAATTCGTATTGTCACAAAAATGAAGTGCTATTCATACTTAATAAGCAAACCGGTTTCTCAAGTGTTGCTTTTTCTATTGAAATGTAGAATAATTATTCAATTTTCATAGCAATCAAGAGATAGGTTGCACGCTTTGGGCTTTACTGTACATCACCGATTAGTATCATTACTATTAAACAATGCCTTTGAAACGATCAACCTTGAACACTCCACGTTGATAAATATGATTAAAATGCCATCTGTTATTAAACAGAAGTATTAAATACAATGAAATTTACTGAAGAAATTCATATAATTTTCAAATAATAATAACAATCATGTGGGATCGATTGAATAGAGTACCCTATTTTCTATATGTGGGATCAATGAAAGAGAAAAGTTGGGAATCCCTAGTGAAGACTCAGTTTTTCTCTAGTATTCTGAATACATTATTATATATTGTATAATATTACGTGATATATACAGTATGTACTCCCTTGTACGAACTAAAACAAGCACTGAGTCCATTAAAATATATGTCATTACCCGCTGTTTTTTTTACTAGAATTTATTACATAACAGATAAGGGTCAATTTAAAATATAGTTTGGAGTATTTTGTTACCACCGAGATAAATTATCATCCCTGAGATGTGTTTTAATGACCTCTAGTCAACTGATGACAGTTGCCTATCATAAATTGATATTTTAACATAGATAAATATCGACTTTTTAAGTATAAATTATGTAATTTCTTTCAATCGTTATTAATTAAATTTATTATTAATTTATTTCAGGTATAAACAACTTTAATGAGTTTTATCCATTCCGTGAAAGATGAATTTGCATTGCGACGAAAGAAAATGCAACGTCATTTATTTAAAAATGTCAAGAATTTTCCGACATCTTGGAGAATATATAGCGCAACATCCCTTATGGTTTACTTTTGTTCCCGTTGTTGTGACAATTGTGTTTTCGGCTGGATTTTTTCGATTAGAATTGACAACAGATATCGATTACATTTTCTTCCCAATTAATGGAAGGAGTTTGGTAGCAAAAGCATCTATTGAAAGATTATTTCCTGAAAATAGTACGGATTTTGATTTTTCTCGAGCAGCTTCGCCCGGAAAATATGGAGTCGTAATTGCTACAACAATAAGTGGAGATTCTATGCTATTCAATAGTGTATTTGATGATTTACATGCCTTGGATCGGACTGTGCTTAATATGAGCGTTACATTAAATGGTAGGAGGTATACTTATGCCAATATCTGTCGTAAATATAAGGGCAAATGTATGCAGAATCATATCTTAAATCTTCAGACTAAGATAGAAGATTTGAAGAAAGGACACTACAAAATTAAGTATGATTTTTATATAATAATACGTCTATAATAATTAATAACTGTTTTCTGTTTGTCTGTCTTTTCTTAATCTCGAGAATGTAATTAGATTGATGAAATCCGACACCATATATGGAAAGCTTAGGGGCTGCAGGCCCGATTAACTTTATATAAACTATGTATTTCTGAAAGTAGCAGGGTAAAAATACACATCTGTTGCATGTTCTGGAATTGAACGTCCCGGTATCTTTCGGGAAGAACTCATATTTATCGGATTTTGTCTCCTAGTATCTGGCAGCATCGAGTAACAGCTTCTAGACAATATGTATTTCGGCCTTCTTTCGATATAACTTCAGGTGCCTACTTGACTCCTTTCTGCCTTTTTAAACACTTCAACAACACCTCAACACTACGCCAACAAACACTACACATTAAATGCTTGCATAGTGAAGTGGGGTTATAACATCCCCCAAAAAACCGAAATGCATATTGTCTATAAGTTATTACACAATAAAATATTTGTTTTATTTTTTTACTTCTCAATTTAGAATTATAATTTTATTCAAAATTTAAATAAATTTAGAAAATATATTTATTTATGTTAGAAAACTTTTATTTTCTTAAATACAAGGTGATCGAAAAGTCAGAAAAACTTGTGGTTTCGTTCTCTGAACACCGGGAGTTCGGTCGTTTGGGTTCGCGCCTCGCCTGGACGAGCTGGCCACGTGGAGTTTTCCGGATTTTCTCCACGTCTGTAACGCCTGAATTAATGCCAGTTACCCTTAAAAGACCTCCTAGAAAGTATTATTCCCCGCGTTTTTATCATCATAAACGAATACAACTACTATTACATGATACACTTTAGGGGCGATATAACCTAGAAGGCGTAGAATCTATTACAAGACAATAAATACCATCGCATATTTTTTTTAAATACTCGTAGTTATTCCTGGCTTTTGGATCAACCTGTACAGTCGGCCCCCTATAACACTGTTGATTATTCCGTTTTATATGAATTTCATGTTGTACGAGTCACTTAGATTTTACAAATACATGAGCCGTTCACAGCCCGGCACAGGTATTTGTAAAATCTAAGTGACTCGTACAACATGGAATTCATATAAAACGGAGTAATCAACAGTGTTATAGGGGGGTCGACTTGTAGGGGAGACCGGGGCAAGATCGGCATGTTAAGCTTTACTTAAATTTTGTGTAATAAATACTGCTGTAAACTGAAAAAAAAGCTTTGCATATTGTCTATTGGAATGTTACCTTACTATAGAACTGGTTAAAATCAGTTTGGAAATAAAAATAATTAAAATAATTACAACTTTACAAGAAGAGAGAAATTGACGAAGTTGCCCCGGGTATAGGGGCAAGATCGGCAACTTCTCTCTTTTTGTAAAGTTGTAATTATTTTAATTATTTTTATTAAAGTTGCCCCTGGTATAGGGACAACAGTAATGGGGCAAGATAGGCACGTATATAAAATTATGTTATTAACAATGTATAAGTTGGAATTCACTATTAAAACAAAGAAATACAAATCCAACACCCATTTAATATTATTACAACGAAATGCAAGTTCAAAGACATATATACATGAATAACAAATGCAAACATGTTTTCATTTATCATCTGTTTGATTTTTATCCTTTGCTTCTAATGTGGCTTTATGTTGCCGATCTTGCCCCGCTAGTCATGATTTCGAAACATTAAGTACAACCCTGAGAACAGAATGCCAAGCCACGATCTGGCCACGTGAATAAGTTGAAGTTACATCCTTCTAACAGGAAAAGTAACTTTCGTTATCATGGAATTATAACAAAACCTGCCAATTCAATATAAATGGAAAAAAAATATTATATGGAATTGAACGAAAATGAAAATTTGCTTGATAATTCAACTACGCTTGTTGGAGAACTATAAAAACACTACACTCAACAAGCCACCAATAAAACTCAACTGCCTAACCTACGTAGTCCTCAGTGTCTTATCCATAGTTACATCAACTATCGGTTACTGTTCTGTATGGGACGTGCACATAAATGCACTTCTTTTGATAGTATTAAGCTTGTTTATTATTTATAGGTATTCACAATATCCAATAAATTTATTTTTTAAAGATTTCCAATAGATATGGATCCGAATACTTCAGAATTTGTGGCATATGCTATGAGTCTCGGTGGTGTGACTAAAGATGAAGATGATGTAGTAAAAGATTTTAAAGCAGTTCGCTTGATTTATTTTCTTGATTACAGCGATGATATGAAACATGAAATTGCTCTGTTATGGGAAGAAAAATTTTTAGATTTATTAAGTACCATAAAATACCATCATATTAAAGTCACGTATTTCTCTGGAAGAACTATCGAAGATGAATTAAATAGTCTTACTTCAGTTAACTTATCATTAGTGATGTTAGCTCAGATATTTATGATATTATTTGCCGTTGCAACATGTATGACAGCAGATTGCGTGTCTAGTAAACCATGGATTGCTATTGCAGGATGCATGTCATCAGTATTCGGCGTTGGTACTGCATTTGGTTTATTAGTTCTTTGTGGAATGGAATATATTGACTTGAATATATCAGTTCCTCTGTTTGTTTTAGGTTAGTTACTTTCGTTATACCCATTAGTGATACCTAATTGATAGATATATTGATTTTTTTTCTTTTTGTTTTCTAGGTGTTGGAATAGACGATTCCTTTGTTCTTCTTTCGGCATGGAGAAAAAGCGATCCTAAATATGCTATAAAAGAAAGAATGGGCGAAACTTATTCCGAAGCTGCAATTTCAATCACTATTACAACAATTACAAATGTTACAGCTTCAATAGTAGGAATTACAACTCCTTATCGATCAATTCAAATTATCTGTAGTTACATGGCCGCGAGCTTTGCATTCGCATACGTGTACCAGTTGACGTTTTTTGGAGGATGTCTTACTCTTAGTGGTAAAAGAGAAATTAAAGGTTTACATTCCATTTATTGTGGACGTGTGAAATCCAATACAAGTATAGGTTAGTCAGTTTAAAAGAGAATAATTTATTGTACTATTGTAGAGCTAAAATACATAGGGGAGATCGGGGCAACTTCGGCATGCGGGGCAAGTTTGTCAAGCGCTTTTTTTAAAAGACAAATTAAAAGGAGACTTTGGTTATAGGTTAGGCAGTTGAGTTTTATTGGTGGCTTGTTGAGTGTAGTGTTTTTATTGTTCTCCAACAAGCGTAGTTGAATTATCAAGCAAATTTTCATTTTCGTTCAATTCCATATAATATTTTTTTTCCATTTATATTGAATTGGCAGGTTTTGTTATAATTCCATGATAACGAAAGTTACTTTTCCTGTTAGAAGGATGTAACTTCAACTTATTCACGTGGCCAGATCG